TGCCGAGTTATGTCCTGTGAGGGTTTCCGCAGGGTGTGTCCTATCCATTGCCATTTACGCCTGGCAATCTGCTGGTTGATGGGATCTTGTTTCTGCCGCTGCCACAATTCAGTATTCTTTAGTTTATCTGTCCACCTGATCTTCAGTATGTTGCGAAGGCAGCCGTTGACGAATACTTGGAGTTTGTTGGTTAGGGTGTTGGTGACTCTCCAGGTCTCTGAGCCATAGAGAAGGACAGACTTAACGTTGCTGTTGAAAATTCATATTTTATTGCGGACAGATAGGGATGTTGACCTCCAGACTGGTCTCAGGGTAATAAAGGCGTGTCTAGCTTTCCTGATTCTGGCTTTGATGTCAGAACCACCTGATGCTGATACAATGCTGCCCAGGTAGGTGAAAGAGGTGACTTTGTCCAGCTCGCTGTCTCCAAGGGTGATTTTTATGTGTCTGATAATTACCAATAGAATTCAGACACTTTCATTAACTTCTGTTGTGATGGCGGCACTAGACCATGAGATGACAAAAAAAATAGGATTTATCTTATGGCTTACCAGAAATATTTATATTGGACTTAATTGCTGTCTGGCCAACGGTTGTTGAGTAACATGTTCATCAGACGTCATCTTTGTAAAGTGACATCTGGAATATATTCAGTCATGTACTGTAGCCCCAAACACACTCGCCCGTCCGGCTCAGTTACATACCTGTGGTTTTGCCTGGCTCTGCTCATCCCATCTTTTGGTCTGGTGTGGAACTGTGGTGTTTCTCTTGTGTTTCATTTAAAGGCTTTTAACAGCACCATCATCTTCATCAGCAGCAGCATCGTCAGCTCCCTGGTCAGCTAGCTACAGCAGACAGAGATGGGCCACAGCAGACCTTGCTGTCAGTTGATCTTGGGTCGTAGGGTACAGTCAACAGATGAAGCATTGCTGTCCGGGTACCTAATGAGAATTACACATCAGTGTTGGACTAGATATTTTATAATCTGCTGTGAAGAGGAACTTAGTCAGCAGATTGGGATTTTGCCAACTTGCTTATCCTATTTAAATCAGTGATTTTTCCAATTAATGAGAAGAGCTGGCAAAATTGGGTTTACAGTGTTTTTGCATCAATGTGATCAAGTATCTTGACTTGTCAGAAAATAGACATTATTAATCAAAAACAGATTTTCTTATCTGTTTCTTATTTTAATTTTCTGTGTAGTATGTCATTTTATACATATGAATAGGTTACAAATTGTCCCCTGTTTAATATTTTTTTAAAGTTCTTGTACAGTGGCTTTCCTTTAGACAATATTTAAAATAAAAACATTTAAACTAACATTTATTAAAATAATTTACATCTTATTATACCATAAATTTATAATAGAACTTGGGCTTCTTCTGTGAAATAAGTATTTCATAGAAAATATTTGTATTCTTTACAAGATACAGAAAAAGTACAGGTTTGTTAATGCTCTGGTATCATATCTGCACCAGTACTGGAAGTTTTCAAACAATAATCAAATTTAACAGATCTTTCTTAAACATGAGTACTGAAAAACAATCTGCCACTATTATTTCTTTTAAACTGAAAGTTGTACATCATACCAGTTCCTCCTTAAAGACCGTGCTGCTCCACTGGTAGAATGTAGAGAAGTGTTCATTCTGCTTTTGAATGCTGTGGCCATCTGCCTCTGTCTGCTGGAGCTGCACCAGCAGGACCTCAGGTAAGAGTAGAAACAGCAGAGAATAGAAAAGAATACAGCAGAACAGAAACACAGAACAAAATAACTATTTTGTTGGCAGCAATTTCATCTGCTCTTTAAACATGACTGTGTGTGTGTGTGTTGTGAAGTGTTACCCTGTGTTCTCCCCATCATGCAACTGACTGTGCATCCATCCCTGACAGGAGTCTGGTCTGAAAGTGAATCACCCAGCTTCCTTTGCAGTGGGTTTGAATGGAGCACAGGGAAAGATGGAGGCCAAAGTCCACAGCCCTTCTGGTGCTCTGGAGGAGTGTGTTGTCACCGAGCTGGAGAAAGGTAGGTTTTTTTTAAGGCAAAATACGGTAACAAGACAAAAACCAGAGAGTCACTGCCTGAACTCGTAAGTTTCAAACCTCTTTTATGTTGGAACTACTGGTAACAAATCCCTTCGTCCTGTCCTCCAGACAAATACGCAATCAGGTTCATCCCCAGGGAGAATGGCATCCACACCATTGATGTCAAGTTCAATGGCTCTCACATCCCAGGAAGTCCTTTCCAGGTGCGAGTAGGGGAACCAGGACAGACTGGGGACCCTGGTCTAGTCTCAGCATATGGAGCTGGCCTGGAGAGAGGCACAACAGGTGGGTAAAAAAAAAAAAAAAAAAAAAAAAAAAAAAAAAAAAAAAAAAAAAAAAAAAAAAAAAAAAAAAAAAAAAAAAAAAAAAGGGCCATCATTGTAACACATACGGTTTTTCCACCTCATTTACATAAACAAAATGTATTAATTGTTTTCACTAATAGCAGCACTTTCTCTATTCAACAGCTCATCTACCAAACAGAGCATAAAAACTATTTAGTCTGTCCCAGCATCACCAATTTTAACTTAGCCTTTCAGTAAGTGTTTATTAATTATATGAATGAATATCGGCTAGCTCTTTTTCAGTAATGGACAAGACAAGTTTGCATCGCTAACCTGTGTATGAGACTCATTTTTTTTATTT